TTTTTTGCCATCTCTTTGCCGGCCAGAACCAAGCCAGGAACGGCGACTGGAGGCTTCTCACTCCGGCAAAGAGGTGGTGGCTGTAGGCTTCTTGGCGGGGGAGAGGGAGGCCTGGCAAGACTCGGCCGGGAGTCGGAAGGCAGCTCCTGCACCATGCCTGTCCCTTTCTGGTCCCCCACTCCGCATCAAAGTACCGTAAAGGGACAAGCTGGGGCGGCTGCCTTCCAAGCAGCAGCGAAGCAAAGGGAAGGGAGGCAGAAAAGTTCACCCAAGTCTTCTCTTCCTTCTCGGGCATACACAGAGTGTGTGTATCTCATGGTGCCGGAGGGACTCCCCACACGCTGTCTCCTCACAGAAGGTCCCAGCCTTATGTGTGCACATGAGGTCCCAGGACCTTCTGCTAGGAGACTGCGTGTGGGCTACTGGCTCAGTTCCAGCTGGGAAGGAAGCAGCAGCTAGGATTTACCACCCTGTTCTTCACTCCGAGGTGCACCCCATTGCCTGCTGCGCTGGAGCAGAGGCACTTGGCTAGGCAAGTCCCCCCAGCACATCAGGCAATGGGGTGCACATGCACGGCCAGTGCGAAGAACAGGACGGCGATGGTGGTGGGAGTGAAGCTCTTTTTTGGCGCATTTAAAAAGCAGAGGCTGGTAGTTTTCAGTGATGTTGCCTCTTTTGGGGGGGGGGGTGCAAGAAGCCTCCAGCAGCTGGCTCGGTTCAAAAAAAAGAAGCAGCGGCTGCAGGCATCTCTTGACAAGGGAGGCGAGATGCAGGCTGGCAGGGAGCTAACAGATTCTCAGCCCTGGCTTGCCTTCCCTGGCAACCAGCCACGGAAGGAAGGTAAGGTCACGGCCACAGACAATGAAAGAGACAGTTGTAGGGGAGGAAGCGAGGAGATTAAGGACGGGGGCGGCTGAAGGAGGGGAAACTGGGCGACGTATCACACTTAAGGGAGAGCGGGCGGTGAGCGGACGGCAGCTCCGGGGCAAGGCGTGAGAAATCACATGTTACCTGACCCGGCCGAACCGGGTGGCGGCTCTAGCACCTCAGGGAATAGTGTATCCCTGGTGGCCCAGGCCCAGGCCCGCACCCAAGGTGAAGGATGAGTGAGTGGCATGCATTGCTTACCTTTGGTGAGCTGAGCTGACCTGGCATTGGTAAGGCAACTGGTGAGGTGATTAGCTGGGCCAAGTGGAGAAGGCAACATATATAGGGCGGGGGTGGGCTGGGCGAGCATCGAGCAGCCGGAAGGGGCAAGCAAGTGGCGACCGGGTCAGGGGCGTGGCCAGCCAGAAGTTGCTACCGGTTCGGTGACTCAGGCCAAATTGATGCTACCGGTTCACCCAACCTGGTGCAAACTGGCTGAATATTACCACTGGGGTTGGACTAGAAGATCTACAAGGTCCCTTCCAATTCTTATTCTGTAAACAATGGGTAAATCCTTCCACCTTTGAGCATACAGGTAGTTCTCAACCTTCAACCATTTGTTCAGTGGCCATTCAAAATTAGGACAATGCTGAACAAAGGGACTTACGATCCTTGCCTGAATATCTGATTGTTGCAGCAGTTGGTGCTTACAACTGTGGGAGTGCTACAACTCCCTTCACCATGGGCCAGCCTCAACCAGCTAGGCTTCTTAGAAACAAACCAAAGGCCTGCAAGCTCCAGCCACTTTGTGTACGCTGCAACCAGTCTTATTCAGGATGGATGAGTGGCTAGGTAGGAAGAAAGCCCAAGGCCTATAAGGATCTTAAATCTTAATATGATCCTTAAGATTTTTCCTTAAGCATCAAACTGATAGGATTGTAGTGAGAAAAAGTTCTGGATAAAATCTCCATCCTAGAGATCTTATTGGAAAGATTCTTAGAAATTCATATTATATCAATTCTTGAAAAAGATATATGGCATTCTGAAAAATAAGTGTATTCTCTGGAGTACCATACCTCTGTCTCCAAATATCCACAAGATAGATTATCTGTCATATTAAAAAGACTTTGGTAATTTAATTTGTCTTTAAGTTTAATTTATTTATCTAAAGTTTTATCAAATTGTAGAACTACTCTATTCCAATACCCCATCATGCACCAGTTCTCATATAAAAAATAGTCAACTGGTCCATAAGATGATTAAATAACTTAATTTTATGCTCATTTGGAACATAAACAGCAACATTTAATAATTAAAGATTTGATCTGTTGCATTTCAACCTCAATTGCAATATGTTATCTACTGAGTTCATCAGTAAATATCAGTTTTGTGGATTAATGTACAAAATTATTCCATTAATCTTTTAAGCCCACTGATATAAATTCTTCATAGTTTTATAGATCAAATACTTCCCATCTTTTGTTATATTTCTTGTAAAAAAACTACATCTTGTTTCAATTGTCTCAGTGTTGTTTTTTTTTCTTTTTTGAGGAGCATTTGCTCCATTTATATTCCATGTTAAAAATTTGTTGTCTGTATTCAAGAGAAAAGTTTATCAAATCTCTTAGCCGTGGCTCCCAAAATATAAATAAGTTAACTAAGTTAATTAGTTGTATTAAACACATTCCTAAAAAGCAAATTTATACATCAACATATATACCAGTATTGGCAGAACATATCATGAAAATATTTAACAGGATTTTAGGCCTAGAAAAGGAAACTTGCAAGTTCAAGATGTTGCTGAATGACACTTTCAGCAATCCTAGCCTTAATGAACTGCATGGGAGGGCCTAAATCTTATCACAATGTTTGGGCTAAATGGGGAATTTCATGCTAAATTCATGAAAGCCCTAGAAAAGTAAAACATATATAGGGAAAAACAGAGCAAAGAAAAAAAATCCTCAAGAAACAAAAATCCCAAGCAACTTTGTTGAAAGAAACCAACAGCCAAGGCAATTTTATCCTCTCTACTTCCAAAACCAGTTTTCTATCCCAAAACAAAATAATAGATCAAACAAATGACCCAAGCTATATCTAGTTATCACTTTGGAGAGGCATATGAGAAGCACAGATACTATTAAATCTTGAGCCTCACTGAATAAAGCTACTTCAACAGGATCATTAATAACTTACTCCAGTTCAGGCATGGAGGTTTTTAGGCAGTGGACCTGTCAGTGCACTGACAGAATTCCGATTATATCCCAGAAACTAAAGCAACATTTTTTAATATATTAGAGCTATATGAAGTATTCTCAGTACAGGGATTATTTGATTACAAATTACAAAAGTCATTCTATTTACTAAATTTGTCTCAGTAATTTCAAGAAATGAATTCATTTTTAATTACTAAAATAATTGGCTAGTTCTAGTTTTGCACAAGTAAAATATAAATAAAATAAGAACACTGGAAAATAAAGCAAAGAATCAGAATTAAAAGTAATCCCATTTATATTATATCCCTCAATTTTTAAAACCAGCATGTTGTTATAGTATCAAACCAACATCAGTACAAGTAGTCTATAAACATTTGAGTATTTTTAAGATTTGTATTTAAGAAACTTCTTGAATAGATTGTTTGGGCTACCAAACAAGTGAAGCAGCAATATACACTATGTTTTCTTAAGAGAAAGAAAATGTCCTTGCTGCAGATTATTTTATATACAATTATATATGTAATTATATACACACATATATATTTAGCAATTTAAATTTAGCATTAATAACATGGGTGAGCTTGAATAATCATATGTGCCTAAACAAGAATCTGCAATCTCCTATTTGCTAACTTCATACAACCTAAAACAAGCTAAAATAAATTAGTAAGAAAACAAAAATTGCAATACATTCAACTTTCCACAAAAAGTAATGAAGACAAGCTGTAGTCAAGTATTTAAACAGATAACACAATTAGTATCATGAGCAATATAATTTATAGAACTTCTACACACAGGGTTCTAAGTATTCCAATTCATGCTATAATGAACCTTTTTAATATCCAACAATTGTTTTAAATAAATCAAGATGATATATAACTAGATTTGAATGAATAATGGATAGGGCTCATGGTTAGACTCCAATTCTAGTTGGATTGAGAAATGCATTGTGGTAAGAAGCACATTGTGGTAAGTCACAACATGGTGCAAGACTAGCCAATACAGTTAGTTAATTCAGTACAACGTGATTTTTAAAGCTATTTCCCTATCTGTAATTGATACTGCAGTCTAGCATTTTTTTCAGCAAATCCATTACTGAGGATATAAACTTTTCTTCTGGCAGTTCAGTAATGGCTAGAACTTAGGTTCTATCAGACAGAGATATTATCAATGGACGGAGGGAACTCCACAAAGTTCTGCTTCTGACTCAGGTTCCTAAATCGAAATCCATACCAAACTACAGAAGAAGAAACAGTTGTCAAAAGCAACATCACTCCTGCAAAGACCTCAGTTTAAACCAGACAGCTGACAATCACCTGGGTCCCAATCTGTTTATACAAGAGGTACTGTACCTCTTTTCTTTTCCCCAGTGTCCCTCCAGATTTCCGCCATTCCCCAAAAGTCACCCAGCAAAAAAATAAAAGATTTCGAATTCAACTAGGGTCCGGGGAGACAGCAAGGCGGAGAGAAATCACGTTTTAGCTCCATGCCACCCACTCTGAAACCCAGGCCTTGTCCAGCGAAACGGCCAGTTTTAGATAAAAAAAAGTAGGCCCTACCGTTGGGCTGGATTGCCGAGGAATTAGTTCACACAATGCAGTAAGTTTATACACTCCGAAGTCCGCTGTGCTTTTCAACAGCCCGCTTTCGGACCATTCGTGATTCGCGTAAGACTCACTAACCTCGGAGGTCTCCATCTGCCCGACATTCCCGTCCCGTTCCCACTACTAGAAGTCGGCAGGGAAACAATCCCTCAGGCGGCAATGCGGAAAAACCATGTTGCTCGGCCTGTGGACTTTACCGCCACTTGCTCGCTGGTAGTATGGGGCCGCCGGTAAGGAAGGCCTCAACCCAACCCGAGCTTCTCTGCGACCGATCGCTCGATCCCTGCCTCCCTGCCTCCCTCCTTCCCTCGCTCACCCTTCCATCCATCCGGCGTCGTTCAAAATGGGGCCGGCATTGGCGGGCGTCGACAGGCGTCTTGGCATTTCGAGAGCCAAGGAAGCCGTTCTTAGGCGGCCTCGGAGTTACAAACACCGGCTCCGCTCTTTTCTCTGACGTGGAACCCGACCACAACCGAACCTGCTGCGTAACGCTACGGGGAGGGGCGGCGGCAATCCAAGTAGCCAATCGAGTATCGTCCTGAGATGACGGAAGATCTATTCTCCAATCGAACCAACGAATTACACTGAGGGACAGGCTGAAGTTTTGGTATTCCAAGGAAGACTCTGTAGAAAAACCAATCAAATACGAGATGAGTTAATTGACACGTCATTTACCAATATCGGATACCAAATCCTTGGTTAAGAAAATATGACAGTTAAGGTGCATGGTTGTAGCGATATGTAATCTAGGTAGCAGTTGTCAACTGTGTGCATGATTCAATCGCATCTTAACTTTAAATTTTCAGCCTCCACCGTAAAACAACAGACGTGTATATAAGAGGCAGTTTTGTAAGGGCAAATAGGTTTAAAAGTTAGCGCAGACGTTTGATCAATGGTTGGAATTTGGTCTAGTAATTAAGCCAGCTGGGTGACCTTGGACCAGTCACAGCCCAATCACCTCACAAGGTTGTTACCTTGGAGAAAATAGCAGGAGGAAGATGTGTTGGATATGTTTATTGCCTTCAGTTATTTGTAAAAATAATAAATAAATAAATAAATAGTTATTGATGCCTTGCTGGCTGGTCGTGGAAGCGCTGACTTGTACAGATAGCAACTTTACCTGGTCTGATATTCAGATACTTCTCCATAGCTTAAAGTACCTGTTTTCCTGGTTGCAATTCAACACCTTAACAGCTACATTACAATGTGCTTTCTGTTCTCAGTCACTGCAATCCCTGACTTTTGAAGATAAGGATGATAAACTTAAGGAAGGTATAGGTACTCATTTCAGTACAGCCATGGACAGCATTTGGTTGAATACTACTTTAAGCCTAAGAGAAACTTAATTCTATCTCATTCTGTTAGATATTTACATATGCACTTCTGATTGGTTGGTCCCCGGGCGGTGGGAATTTAAAGAGCTCCAGGAGCAGCTCCATGGTAAAAGGAGCTGCCGCGGCTGTGGCTTTGTTCTGAACAATGCAATAAAGGAGCTAAGCAGTCGGAGCCTCCCGCATTATCTCTCACCCACAATGGCGATGAAGGTGGGATTCTGAGAGAAGCACGATTGCGAGCACGTGGCTAACTAACTGGACAAAGAACTCAACATGGCCAGAAACAATAGCCACCCACACCATTCGACCCAACAACTGAGGACTGGGAATCCTATGTCGACCGATTCCAGATGTTCCTGGAGAGCAGCGACCTGATGGATATTACGGAACAGAGGAAATGAGCCGTCTTCCTCAAGCATTGTGGCCCTGCCATTTTCAAAATGGCTAAAGCTCTCACAGCCCCAAGTTATGTAAAAACGATGGCCTGGGTCAATTTAGAAAAAATTCTGAGGGCCCATTATACACCACCAGTATCCAGCCTAATTAAGAAGCACGAATTCTACCAGAGAGACAACATCAACAACTTCATTGTGAGCCTGAGGGACATTGCCAGAGCATGCGAGTTCCTGAATGTGGATGAGGCGATGAGAGATCGCATAGTCCTGGGACTCAGGGACCTGACACTACAAAGCCGCCTCCTTACAAAACCTAAAATAACACTAAAGGAGGCCATCGAAGAAGCATCGGCCATAGAAGCGTCCCAAAAATCTGTCAATGCCATGAGGAAGATGAATAAGACACCGCAACCCCCTCAAAAGGACGACGACGCCATTCACCGATGAGGACCTCGAGTCCGAGGAAGTGAACCAACTATATTTGGAAAGACGCCAAAAAAGCCGAGAGGGGAAACAGAAGGAATTTTGGTGTGCGAGTTGCGAGCGAAATCACCTCTGATGCAGTTTCCATGATGCCATCTCCCAATGATGCGAGCAGAGAGGATACATCGTGAGGGCATGCAGAGCATTCAAGCCAAGCAACAGAAGGTCAAGACAAGGCACACCTCCAAGGAACCAAGAAAATCAACCCGAGAACCGACAGAGCAACGAGTCGACCACAGCAAGGAGTAAAACACACCAGACTATGACAGTGGGCCACTCCAGCATGGCAAATGCCAGAAAAGTCCACGTTCAAGTCATGATAGAAGGTAAACAATGTCGGATGAAAGTGGATTCCGGATCTCTTCTGTCAATGGTGTTGCGGGACACCATCAAAAGTCTAATTCCCAACCTGACAAAAAACCAGTTGAGCAAACAAAGACTAATCCTAAAGGACTATCAAGGGAACAAGATTCCCGTCATTGGCATAGGTGAATTCCAAGTGACATTCCAAAACTACTCTGGAATCCTGCCTTTAACCATGGTCGACCGGGACCGGCCAAGTCTGCTGGGACTTGAGTGGTTCAAGCCATTGGGGATCGATTTCACCGGAATCCACAGCATCACAGAAAGCGATTGGGAAGACAACCTGAAGGAGGAATTCCGGGACATGTTTGACGGAAAATTGGGCAAGTACTCAAGGTCCCCCATTTCTTTTAAGACCCAATCTTTTAAGACCCAAACAGACTAAAAGTGAGGCGAGTCCCACTCGTGCTTAAACCAAAAATAGACGAGCTACAAGCTCATTTCCCAAGGAATCCTAAAAACCATAGTCCATGCAAAATGGGAAACTCCATTGTCACACCTATAAAGCCAGATGGATCTCTGCGCATCTCTGCTGACTATTGGGCCACCCTTAACCCCGCCCTACAACAGAGTGCATACCCCGTCCCTGTGGTGCAACACCTTTTACACTCCCTGGGGTGGGAGAAGATCTTTGCAAAACTTGATCTCGCACAAGCCTACCAGCAATTACTGGTAGATGCTGAGATGGCAGAAGTATAGACAATCGTAACATACCAAGGAACTTTCAAATGTAATCGCCTACAATTTGGTGTCAGCATTGCCCTGGGGCTATTCCAGAGCATCATGGAATGATTATTGCAAGGAATAAAGGGGGTGGTGCCTTACTTCGGCAATGTCCTCATATCAGTCAAGGACAAAGAACAATTACAAGAATGTTTAAGGGAAGTCCTAAACCAGTTCAAAGAGGGGGCTAAAAGTAAAAAAGGAAAAATGCCAGCTAGCAGCCGACAAGGTAGAATTCCTGGGCTATCTAATAGACAGTGAAGGAATCCACTCAATGGACAGTAAAATTAGAGCAATCAAAGAAGCCCCCAGGCCAACAAGCAAAACAGACTTGCAAGCCTTCCTTGGTCTCATTAACTTTTGCCATATATTTACCACAGAAGGCAACAGTGGCGGAGCCACTCCACAGACTGCTTGACAAGAAAGCAGCCTGGGTTTGGGGGCAAAAAGAAGCAGCATTCCAAGAGATAAAGAACATAATTACATCAGACCGCGTACTAATCCAGTGCAACAAGACTTTACCATCAATATTAACTTGCGATGGACACAGTGTTGAGGAGCGGAGCTGGCGTCACGACGATATGGCATGCGATCTTGGAGGTCTGAGATCGCTGCCAATATCTTTGCTCCTGGACGGTCCAATTGGATCTAAACCATCCTGAAGAGACGGTGAATGTAAAGAGTGCATCCTGTCGATCCCAGGGACACCACAAAGTCCCTGGTAGATCCAGGAGAAGCTCTTTTTGCCAGCGGCAAAGAGGCAGCCATTAAAGCTGCTGAAGTTGGGACAGCTCCGAAACAAAAGAGAACAGAAAGAGAAAGTGTGCCAGTTTGGTGAGAACTTTTTCTTTACTTTAAGATTTGAAAGGACACCCTAAGGAAAAGAATGAATCTGTAAAAATTTTGACAGAAGTGATTAAGCGGCGATTTTAAACAGAAAGTCAAATAATATTTTTATTTTTCTCATTGCTGGATTTTCTATACATGATTTTATATTTTGAAACGGGACTGGGTTTTTTTCTTCTTCCACCTATTCTTTCTCTCCTTTTTGACTTTATAATATTCTAGGCTAGAGACTCCCTTTTAGTCATCTTTTTTAATATCTTTTTCCCTTTTTAATTAATTTTTATTATATCTTGTTTGGAAAAGGAGGGGGAAAGTGAAAGCAGAAGAAACTTTGTAACACTGCCAACTAGAGGCTTGGAAATATTCTATCTCTTTTTTTTCTTGACCAGACAAAGCTGAGAAAGAACTAAGACTTCTTTTCAAGGACATTGCTGTTTGATAAGATAGAGGGAACAGCATGGGAGAGTATTATTGCAGGTGCTCTTCTGGGTTTCTATCAATAGCTGGAGTCTGGTATTGAAGTTTACAGAAAAAAAGACGATAAGACGATAAGAGAAGAGAGTTATAAAACTTAACAAAAGACTTGGATAACTAAATAAGGTGCAGTGTGCTCTTTTTACTTTTTTTAAGCTGGGCTATTTATTACTTTAACAAACCCCTTCCTTACTAGCTTACTTTTTGTAATAGCTATTTGGATTTTTGGCCTTTTGGAACTTGTTTTTGTCTTTCTTTTTGTCTTTTGAAGTCTAATTTTTACATTTGCATTTTATTTTAAAGGAAAAGCTTTAGTATTAATGATTTCCTTCCTTCTTTTCTTTTTAAGAGATTAGTCTCTTTTCTTTTTTCTCTCTCCCTCCCTTGTATTTTTTTTATTTACCTTCCATATTGGTTTTTTTATTTTTGTGGCTTTCTTTTTTTTCTTGTGCATCCTTTTACACCTGAGACCTTTTAATTGGATTAAGGTGTTGAAGAACCTGAAGAACTTTTCTTTTCTCTTCTTTAGTTATTTATTTTTTACTTTTCCGCCTTTTTCAGGATATAACAATTTTTTTCTTTTTTGTGTGTGTTTATGGTCTTTTCTTCCATTTTTGAGTTTTTACTGCTATCTAACCAATCGATTGGATTAAGGAATACAAGAACCTGAAGAAATTTATTATTATTATTATTATTGTTGTTGTTGTTGTTGTTGTTGTTGTTGTTACTATTTGGTTTCTTTTCCCCCACTATTTTTACTTGGAATTACAATTGGTTATTTCACAAGGGGATTAAGGTTGAGAAGAACCTGAAGATTTTGAATTATCCGAAATGAG